CACAAACCTAATCCATGCTCTGACTGACAGCTCGACTAATACACGTACCAGGGGGTGAGGGACTTCGGGTCACTCCACTGAACCCACCAGCTGCCAGTACGTTAAACCCGCACGGCAATCCAGCTTGGACGGACACCGCTTCCTCCGTCTCTAATTCCTTGGTGGCCCGCATCTTGATGTATAGTTATCTACATATGTGTATCTACCTCCCGGCCAGGGACAGCTATCTCACGCCTTCAACGCTCTCCGCACCAACAGCGCCAGCTATACATACCCCCCCTCATTCACGAAAAAGCACCTGCCCGTACTAGTGGATGGTCCGTAAACTTTTCCCCGACCTCTCGCCAACGGCTCGTCCCTCCCCATTCCCGCACCCGTCCGCTAGAAACCGGCCAAACATCACCCACGATCCAACGCCCCCCCCCCCCCTGCCCCACGGTAACGACATTTCCCACTCCCTACTCCCACCCGACAGAAGCACCAGAGTTTGCATTGCTGCCATTCATCCCCTTACATCTGCCCGCCACATGGCAGCGACAAACCTCTACATCATAGTGCATCCAGCCCAGCCCAGCACGTACACAACCGACGCTCTCATGCAGAATTAATGGGCTGATCTCCCTGTGCGATGGGTGGATATGTACGTACCCGCAACGCTTACCCGGGAACCTTCTAAAGCAGTGGTGTTTCCCGGAATTTAACGGGCGCAGGATTACGCGAACCTGTGGGGTTCTGTGTGTTGTGCGGCCATCGGATGTGTAGGACTGGCGGGGCGGGTCATAGAGGATCACTCGGTATATCAACCCCCAACGAATTTTGGTTGAGGCCACTACTAGGCTTCTTTCTCGGCTCAGGGTTTTTTATTCGTGCTTGGGAGAGATTGTTCAGTTTGAACTACCAGGACGACTGCTTTTTTACATACCCACTAAGATTCTGTGGATGGCCAATGCGAGTGATGATTCGTGATCGAGTACACGCTTGAAGTGCGTTACGGGACTTTGGGGGGCGCTCAGGAGAGTGGGGTGTTAGGTGTGGTCTAGATTTGGGAGTTGAGGGCCAGAATTCTCTTTGATTGTGTGTGATAGGGAGTGATCCAGAGATATATATACACCCGGCCGCGGACAACTACAACCATACTCCACCTAAACACATCAAACAAAACTCCCAACTCATGGAGCAACTCCACCACCTTTCTCAATAAGCCAGCCAGCTATACGCAACCTAATGATCCTAGTACAGTTTTGTGTTCTCCATATATCGCACTCGGTGTCTACTAGCCATGGTGGGGCGGACCATATCACCTAAGGGCCGGCGCCAACATACCTACATGTAGTATTGGTTAGTTGGTGGTCCGGTTGGTCATTTCCCAACTAAAAGTCCTTCCCGGAAACCGGCAATCGAATCGCTTCATCGGTCATTGCGGAAGCCTTGAAAGCGGTGGGGGGTTGCGGGGCAGTGTACCGAACAAACACCCGGCCGCGAAGCTGGGCAGGTACAGGAGATGGGCGCGTTTAAATACATAACTGCATCACTGAATTTCACGAACTGGAAATATCTGCCTATCGGGCAGAAAATGTATCACCGACTTTCGTGGGCGTGGCTCAAACACAGCGATAGTCAAGCGTTCGTTTTCATGGACAAACCCGGTACAAATATCGCGATAGGCGACAAGGATATAAGCGACAGAGCAGGCACAGTCGGACTCCCACACCGGATATACAGATACTTAGACGGTTATTCAGGATACGAAGGGTTTATATTTGGTCCCAGAAGGAAGGACGGAAGGAGAGACAGAGTCAAATTTGTTAGAGCTAAATAGTCACTTTTCCCTTTTTACCCCTCGCAGATGGTGGTGGATGTTTGCCAGCTTGCCGAATACCCTTCATTGGGCGTGGCCGGGAGCTAGCGGGGTAGTTCTGGGGTATTGCCATAACTGTAAGGTTGCATGCAATTAACGAATTAATTAAAAATTAAATTAAAAATTAATATCACCGACTTTCTATTAAAGTCCCACAGTCGAGTGAGACCTCATGCATATAATGTATTACTTCGTACCTATATCACTGTTGCTATTCTCCGCACGTGCGTACAGACGAACGCCAATAGGCCTTAAACAAGCCACGTTCTTTCAAGGAAAGGGGTTAGATAATGCTCAGTGCAATGGCCACCCACGATCCGACGGGCTATATCTCTCCGCAATTGAAGCGGGGGTAAAAACTTATTATGCCTCTCGAACATACGCAGGTTTCTTCTTCCCCACCCGCTGATGCCGCCCTACCGGCACGTAGTCCCTCCTGAGGAGGATAAAAGTCCCCATATCGAGAGAACAAGGAAGCCCGCAATAATTATATCTAGTGTGGCCCATGAATCGTCTCGAGTCAGTTTGTCATATCTTGGGCTCAGCTCGGCTTGCTTGTGAAAAGGCTCGAGACTGCAGAATTTTCCCTAAAGTATCAACTGGTAGCTCAACTTATGAGACGAAGCAAATTTCATGAAAATATCTATTCGCAAATAGACCTATAATACAAATTTATGGATAAGCTGGCTCAAGTCGAGCCGGCCCGTCTTGTGGACCACATTAATTATATCAATATATGAGATGATTATATAGAATTACGTGCAGTAGGGTGTGGGTGCTCTATGGCTTTGCTATAAGTACATGTAGTGGTCTCGTGAGTCTCTAGAAGCTGTCATAATTATCGCGAGCCTACGGCAGTCTATTTTTAGTAAAAATAGGTATCAGCTTCTCGTAACAGCGCCTCGGGGACAGTCTCGAGACTCCTATCACACTTGCGCTAGCGGCACTAATATAATTGAACGGTCACTCGCATGATGAGTACTTTATCGTACCGTCCAGCGATTACATAGGTGAGGCGCGGCACCGCTGGATACAAACTGCAAGTAGCGCAACCGAGTGACAGCCTGTGCTGGAGTATTTTGTGGATTATTAATGATCCGATGCACGGCGCTGCATGGTTCTGTAGTGTAATGGTTAGCACCCAGGATTCTGATTCCTGTAATCCCGGTTCGACTCCGGGCAGGACCTTTCGATACTTTTTTCCCTACATTAACTGGTACGGAATTTTTATTAAGGTGGTTGGTTAACCGCATCGGGTTTTATCTACTACGGCGATTGTCGCCTCTACTACCAGGAGAAGGTAAGTGAACTATCACATATGATGGCAATTGACAGCCCCCCGGCGTTTTACTAATTCTGGTTCTCTACTGATCGGCGAGCAATCAATTATTGCGCATAGTAGCGATCGTGACCATAGAGCCGTATCATTGACCGTTATGTCAATAGTAGGTAGTTGATCACACACATCACCCCATTTTTCAACTATTATTTTCACTCCCGTAACAGCGGCGACCTTAAAAGCACTCTCCTATGTACCACACCCCGCAACCCGATCCTCGTGTCTTGTCAGCCAGCCACCAAGTCGTACGAACCCTTTCCAGACCTGCACTTTTAACGACGAAGAAGAAAAAGGAATGGGCCAAAATGCCCTTCTCCCCACACTACCGGTACATGCTCACACGACATGAACTGTAGAGTACACAAGCGCCCTATCACCAATCCAGCCGACGTCACGACAAGACGTGCAACCAGCGCGCGCTACACCACCACCACCACCATCCCCGAGAACCAAGAGAACCAATTAGAGAACCAAGAGAACCAAGAGAAACGGAAATGAAAAGGACCACCACTATTCCGAGGGTTAGGTTTTTGGGGCGGGTAATGAGCATCATCCCCGAAACCTAATCCCAAGAAATTTGGTTAATTACTACCGCACAGTAATCACCTCCGGCGCGCCAAAGATTAGTAGCCCATGTCACTTGTTGCCAACAACAACAGCAACAGCAAAATACCTCAAGAATCCAATTTCCCCCTCGTAGGGTAGTAGCAGCATAGCCCACCTTTGATGTGGGGGTGTAGGTAGGTGTACCGTGTAGAGACGTAGTATTTCGTGGACCATGGCATGGGACGCACTACAGCGTTGCTATATTTAGAGGGCCCAGTGTCTAGGGCGGGAAGGAGGTAGGGGTCGTGTGATTGGTACTGGGCTAAAGTCTATCTACCACGTTCTGGTGGTACAAGCATTCTGTTTTCTGTTCTTTGCGCGGTCGAATGATGCTCTACCCTATTGCATTAGTACCCATCATATATGCGCGAACACTTACGGCGGCGTGCTGTGGAATGCAATTGGGGGCGAGGGGGGGCACGACAGGATAGGAGTCGTACTGTACTATGCGAATTGTATGTATCGGGTAGGTTGATCAGATGATATTGAGGCATCTAGAAGCGTACGGTACATATGCAATTAACGTCGCCGTCGTTAACTTATCAGACTGTATTATAAACATCGTATTCTGAATTGGTGGCTTTTGATGGTTGGCCTAGTAGTACTGACCTTCAATGTGCACTTTACGTTTTCTTTTACCAAAGCTTGTAAAGAACAGCACCCCACGATACGAACCACGATACGAGCTTTATGTAGAACAGGTAAATAAACATATTACTATTTGCCTACTAACTTGACATGTACCAACCGCAAACCAACGAAATTATCTTACAGACTAGCATAGACCATTGCAGGAGCGCTTCCCACTGAGACTTGATATAAAGGAAAAATAAGAACTGAGAAATGATCGCAAAGACACAATGGGGCTAAAATCGCACGCTCGCAAAGCAAAAAATAAGAGAGTTTTTTAAAGAAGATCCGCTTTCATTTGTGCACACCGTAAACTTATACACAAGTGGCTCCTCCACGTACCATCCACATTCCCTCCCCCAAAAAAACTACTTCACACTCATCCCACCACACCTCGACCCCGACAACTCCAAGCTTTGCCATCCAGTCATGCTCAATATTACAAAAGAACCAGATATCGCTCCGAATTATTAATGCAAGTGGCTACTAAAAACAAATATGCTGAAAAAGAGAGAAAAAAATACAAAAAAAGGTCGCTAAGCCTCACAAATAATTATATTTTATACTCTAGTTCAAGTAGACGACGGCACCGATCAAGCAGACCACCAAAGCAAGGGGGCTCTTGAGGAGACCGGCAGCGGCACCAGTAGAGATAGCGGTGTCGGTGGGGGTTGAGGTCTCGTCAGAGGTAGGCTTGGAAGAGCGGGTGGTGCTGTGAGTGGAGTTTCCGTAGAGTCCGGTGGTGACAGTGGCGTTTGAGGACATGACGGAGGTGACCATGGTGGTGGAGTTTCCGGAAACAACAGTCATGACAGTGGTCTTAGGGGGCTCGGTGGTGGTGGTCGAAGGAGTCTCAGTGGTTGAAGCAGCAGCCTTGGTGGAAGAAGCCTTGGTGGATGAGGGGGTGGTGTAAGATGAGTATGCTGAGGAAGCCTCGGGGGAGGCGGCCTTAAGCTCAATGAGAGGGGTGTAGTTGATGTTGCCCGCCTTGTCCGTGATCATGATCGCGTAGTCCGGGCCGGCGGGGAGGTCTGGGTTGGGAGTCCATGTGAATTTACCGGAGTTTGTGTAGTCACCTTTAAAAAATCATTAGCAATTGTCCAAGATACGGCAATGGTTAAATCGTTAGAAGTTACTTACCAACAATGATCAAAATATCCTTAAGGTTTCCTGAAGGGCCCTTTCGGAGAGTGAGCTTGATCAAGTTGTTGTTGGTGGGAGTCCAGGTAATGTCGTAAGGCTCGCCAGCGGTCATGGGGTGAGTTGAATCAGGGTGGATGATCGGGTTCTCGCCAGCCAAAACAGAAGTGGCAAAGGCGGCAATGGCGAAAACTGAGCTCATGAAGAAACGCATGTTGACTGATTATTGGATTGTTTGGGGTTGTGGGAAAAGTTGATTAATGAGTGTGTAAGTTGCGTAAAAATGTAAAGAGCGAAAGGAAACCGAAGAGACCGTGTGTGTGATAGCGAGATGAGGAAGGAAAGAATGTGCTGTTGGGGGGGAAGACGAGCTGGTTAAAAAGGAATGGATGTTGAGGGTTTGAGTACTAAGAAAGAGTAAAGGAGAGACAATTACCAGCCATACCACTAAGGCGGGATAGTGGGGACAGAAGCATAGCATAGAGGCATACAGCTCAGATGCACTGTCTCTACGTCTGTAAGGGGAATAGCTTAGAGCAGCCGAGGCATATCACTCCCGTGAGTGGTCCACTACTGCAGTCTAGTCTGCGCCCACGAAATGAGGTTTATGAGTATGAGACCCATCAGAGCACCAGCCAGTGCCACAACCACCACCAGCACATCCTCCTCGAAATTTGAGAATTGGCCACCAGACTCTGTGCGCTGATTGCTTGATTTTGGTCGATTTCCTCATACATTAGAGTATCAGCGACAGTTCAGAGTTGAGCTCCCCAGTACTGAAGCTAAGCCTGATGTTCAATCAATCCGCAATCCGCGATGACCCAAACCCCCTGTAACCTTTCCCCCACAATCTTCGAGCATGAATTCCCATCCATCCATCTACATCCACCCTATTCACTTCACTTCACCACTAGGCAGGTACTCTACCTGCATGTACCTAACCCCAATACCACTACCCATCCCCTCCCCGTGACCCTCCCCCTGTTCCTAAATCCTGCTGAAGCTTCCTTAACAGACTAACTCACTCGCCATCACACTTCCAGAATCAGTCGCGGGGGCCGAGTTCCTGCCCTAGCGGGCCGTCAACAGCCAATTTCTAATTTCCCAATCCATACAGAATTATTCTTTCGGGAGATTGCCTCCATGTTCTACCCGGAGGATGTTTCCCATTCTCTGAATAATCCGTTGATTCTCACAGGCCGGTTATGTAAGTTAACTACACCAAACACTTCTTTCCCCCCCTTCCCCCCAGATATCCCCTTTGGCCTAGCTTCGCAAAGTGCCCACACCGTTGCCAGCTTGTTTTCGTTGTTGTCCTACTACCAACAGCACACGCGAGAATCTCGCTTCATTACCTTCAGGGGCAGTTCTACATTAGGTTTAAGCTGCGGCTCAAGCCTTGGCTACAACGTCGACCGAGAGAGCGAAAAGGCTAATCCCCGGTAACGCTTCATCCCTGTCGACATGCTTAGAGCATTTTTCTCCTCCAGCCATCCAGATGGAATCATCCGAATTTTTCGCCTCTCCCCTAGAGCGAAACCTGAATCGAGATTTGAAGAACGTTTATTCACTTGGCAGAGTTGGCAGTTTTGGATCGTTTGGCACCTAACCGCCCACCCGACTCACATTTCACATCCAACAAAGATCGAAAAGATTTGTAGAAAAATATTACACACATCTCCTCTCCTATAGGTACTACTACAAAAAGCAGGTACCCGTCCGTTGCGATTATCAAAACGGTATGTGATCTGGGCGCGGTGGCTTGAAGGGGACAAGACAAAAAACTTCTGCCGATATGTAGAGTATGGCACACAGGCCGGACATGCATGCAGAAAGGAGAACTCTGATCGCCCTTTTTGCCCTGTCTTTGCCTTTTCACACTTTTATCTGTGCCTTGCATGCCACACCAATCAGAAATAAGTCTAACCCCAAACCTCTTCTCAACGGCTACCCCTGAAGCACGCACTGCAACGCAAGATTAAGCATGCATAGGGGGGGTAGTGGCTAGAAATTCAAGATGTACAGGCCCGCGAGCTCGATACCTATCATCGGTTTACCGTAACAATTACCTGAGGCGATTAGACACTTCTTCGGTTTGGAGTCAAAAAGGGGGAGGGTTAAGAACAATATCTGTTAATTGACCTAGTTGTTTTTGCCCCTAATCCTCCCCGTTCTAGGCTTTCCCTACGTAAAGTATTGGAGTACATACATAGAGTACCTCGGGCCCTCTTCGGCAAACTAGGAACAAAATGGGTTTTCCCGATAACCCCCCCTTCTCGTCGAGATCAGATCTTGATTTTGGATGGAATTTGAGACATTGTCGAGAACAGGACAGCATCCAACAAACACGTGCAGGGCGTGGGGATTGTTCTGGAATTGCAAGTGGTCAGTGCAGAAATCCCAGACAAGCGGATATGATTGCCCTGTTTAGGATGAGGGGCACAATGGTGATTTCCGTTAGATGGTGAGAGAACGTGAAACAGAGAAGGAGGATGTTTCGTTTGCGAGATTGAGTTCAAGAAGAAATGAATGTGGGGAGCGAGATGCAAGTGCAAATGTGTGATGGCCAATCAAGGGAGCAGGGGAAGGGTAATTGAGGTGCAATACCTAAAAATAAAATAAACTTGAGGAAGCGATGCTTAGATGCTGTGGAGGAAACCGGGTGAGGGTTTAGAGTTCATGGCGAAAAAGTCATGACTGCACTAGTTACATAAGTTTACACGACGTTTCCTCCCGAAACAAGTGTGCTACAACTACAAGACGAAGTGTATGTATATTATATCGATGAAATTAAGATCCTTCACTAATATACCCTGTATTCATATAATTCTATCGGAGCCCTGCTTTAATCATTCCATCATGACCATTCCACCTTCCATATTACAGGCACAATATAAAGAGAAACTACAGCAAAGTACCACTCCTATATCACGGCACACTCCCTTGCCCAATATACACCAATACTTCATTTCGCCTCCTTCTCATCTCCTTCTTGATATTCCGTGAAGGTTTAATCCCATCTAAGATTAAATACCCGACATTTCAACCTTCTAGAAGCCCGCGTCGTAAAAAAACGAAAAAGCCTAATTCCGAGTGACACTCCATGATCACCATTCGGCCCAGATGAACTGCGCTTAGTCAGCATTTCACACTTTCTTGGATCCGAGCACCAGGATAATTTAGAACAGGCAGCTCAGGGAACAGGCTCAGGGAATTAAGGGATAAATGATAAGGCTTTCTGACAGATTACTAGATGCCTGGGTAATTAATAAGATGAACTATGTTAGTGTCTGTAAGTCTACGGGTAGAGGCAGTCAAGAGCACTCTATTTTGCATGTCATGACGACGAAGATGTTCCGTTTTAGTGTGGTGTACTGCAGTTATTGCATGAAACTGCGGTTACATTCGCCCTCACTACTTCCTTATAAGGGGAATCATCCCCTTGTTTATAGTTCGCATGTGACCAGCTAGGACAAACAAACAAAGCTCGCATGAAAAGCTCTCGAGGGGCGAACGCGAGTGATCCTCTATGATCACGGTAGTTACATGCCAAGAATTATGTACATCCCCACCACCCGGAGCAGGGTCTGACCTGCATTTTTCGGTAGAGTGGACCGTAAGGCGACATGCAAGGGGCTCTACGCGATGTCAACTCCAAGCGATTAGGACTACAATGAATGCTCGATATGCTGACACCAACTATCCTCTCCGTCGTTTTCACCCGACTCTACCGCAAACAGTACGCGTGGCTCGTCTTAAACTGAGCTTGCTACTGGTGCTCTGGATCCTGATATCACTACTCTGGCTTGGCATGGCTGCAAGTCTCTGTGATCAATATTAATCTCCTCTTTGCTGTCTTGAACAATCACAGGCCTAAAAGTCTTGAAAATCAGGGACGGACCGGGAGACACACAAGTATAATTACTCGACTTCATGATGGGCAGTAAAAGACGAGGATGGGCCTAAAAATTTAGCAAAATACAATCGATCCAGGTATTAAGAACTGGATACCATCTGAGTTGCTCTGACTCGGAGTTGAACCGAGGATCTCAGCATTACTAGTGCTGCGCCTTACCAACTTGGCCACCAGAGCTTGTGTAATAAGAGAGTCTAAATGCTCGTCACCGATAAAAGTCATGATAGTTGAAATCGCTTGAGAAATTTTTCACTGACACCGCCGTACTGCGTATACTTTTCTCCGTAGATTCGAGGGTGTAAAGCTGTATATGAAGTACATGTATATTGCATTGACGGAACTTACCTAAAGACCTTGCTCTGGCTAGAATATCCCAATAAGGCATGGTTGTTCTTATGGTAGCTCACAGGATCTCACGCAGGTTTACAGGCTCCCATGCACTCTATGAATTCAAAGGTATCGCGGTCGTGATTATTACAAGTACGTAGAAGAAGGAGAAAAAGAGAAGGAAGAATACAAAGTGTGGTATGATCACGATACCGTAACAAAAGTATCGAGTTCAACTTTATTTAACTGGACTATATGTCCCTGTTATGCTAAATAGGTGAGAAAACTCGCTACCTACTTCATCCGGTCAAGTAGTTACAATTAAGTCCGTACGAAGGTATATGTTATTTGTACATACATATATCTATGAGGCAGTTTTTGAAATTTAGCTTATATCAGCACTACGGGCATCGCCGGCCCGGGTTCATCCAGAGTTGATTTCTTATTGTATCATCGCATAACTACCAAGTACATATATAGTTGTAAGTACGTAAATATAATGCTGGACTACTATAGACTAACGTTTTGGAGAAAAACATAGCGAATTTAAGATACGCATATTTGATAATGTTGGATAACTAGCTTTCAAATGCCAAATCCGTATAGGTGAGTTGTCCGAGCTTTTCATGTCGAAATCTGTCATTGCCATACTTATACCTGCCCGATCCGTGAATATATAACTAGTCAGACACTTTGTCGATGAAGGAAGCAAGCCACTTAACTATCTTGTCCTACTTTTTCAATAGATGCTTCGAAAACTTACACGAGTGATGACCTATGAAGAATACACCCGACGGTTTAAACTTTGAAGTGAGCTTGAATAGAATTGCTCCCCTTTCCCTGTTGGATAGTCCTAGGGTATCTGGGCCGTAGCCCTAGTGGCTGTGTGGAAACTTTATACTACGATTCGTAACTCATACCATACAGAATCCCGAAACACCTACAATCATTTATCCGATCATGACAAGTACAGAGATAGCATTTGGATCCATATACGTCAGTACCCTCTATGCTGTTTCTAAACCTCCCAAATTTGAAAAACCATACAGCTATCTTTCAATCACCTCTAGCCCATGAGTACAAGGCCGCTCCACAAATCTCTCGCCGTTCCACACCTGCACCGGCAGTGTAGGGCAAAAATGAATCATATCAATAGTTTCATTAGTAACCCAGTCCTTCTCCTCCTCCTGTTCCATCTCATCCTCACATTCAGAGTTGTGGTCACTAGTGCAGAATTCTTCGCCACCCAGTGGGCCCCCTTCGCCAATAATTAGGCTGTAATTCCACTTCGTCCTCTTACAAGTGGAGCACTTCATACGGATCCTAGGAACCGGAAGAGGTGTAAAAACTGCTTGATCCAACCGCGCAACGATGATGGCCCGAGACTCAGTGGGTTCGAGGTTAACATCATCTGGAGCTTTGGAAGCCTGGGACGAGGATGACGAGGATGACGAGGAGATCGGGTCATCTTGGAATGCATGGGCAGCGATCAATTCAAATGCAGTAGTGGCGAGTCCCCATGCCCCTTCTTGCAGGGCGCGAAGAGATGCTTTGGTGATGTCAAGGGGACAAAACTGTTTTGGAATAGCATGATCATCAGAGATGCTCGTGGTGGGATGTGGACGTGGATTGGTGTTAAAGTCATCGGTTGGGTTGTTTAGCGGTTTTGCCATAGATTAGTGGATGAGTGTTTAATCGGGTGTTGAGGCCGTGTACGTAAAAGAAGAAGAGTATGAGATTTGAGAATAGTGAGATTGAGAGTGGTTATGTCGGGGTAGGGACGATTCTCAAGTTCCGCTGGTTACTTTGCGTTTATAATTTATGAGTACCAATTGATACCTTTCTGGTACTTGTGCCTTTCTATGTTTGAAAACGCATAATATTAACGGCCGGTATACGTAACATTCTACAACGATATAGGCCTAGTAGAGATTGCATAATTGTTTATATCTGCATCAACCAATCGATGATCGAGTGGGAATTCAAGGGGATAGTATATATATTGGTATATGGAAATACGGTACAATTGCAAGCAGTGCTGGTGATAGCACTAGCAAATTGAAATATGCCGATACACGAGAATATTTGGTAAGTAAGGAGTTTTATATTCCGGCACTAATTAGGTAGTTGATTAGCTACATGTAGCTGAATATAAGTTTCATGTATGAAAAGACGATCGACCAGGGATAATAAGCCAAGATCTGGAGACAACCTCATTTTTATTCCACCCCCTTATTTTTTAAGGTTTCGTTGTGAATACTAGAGACAACTCTTTTAATTGCTAGAAAAATACAAATATTAATAATAGGTCCTTTGCCCAGACAGAGCTGGCTCCAAATTATACTTGTATGGAGGGTCGGCGCAAAGGATAGGGCCTAATATCAACCAAAAGGAAAAGACTAAATTTAGGGTAGTACAAGGTCACTAATTCCATCAATTCTATGAACAGTTATCTTACTAATGCTAGAAATTCAAGTCTTTAGACGTTTTGAAATAGAGAAGTGATCTAAAAATAGATCAAGATCTTAGCTTAAGTAATCGACGGAAATGATCAACCAGCGAGGAATGTCAAAAAGAAAGAATGTCGGCACCAAACAAAGATCTGGCGCACAAGACAAAACCTGAACTCGGTGACACTGTTTTCGGAGAAAAATAGTGCTCAGGGGAGCATTTTGCGGTCATAATGATAATGCGTCATTCCGGTTTGGGTTTTGGCTGGAAGTTTTGGAGAGTATTGACAATTGTTTGAAATGTGCATGTGGTTACATGTAACTAAGCTCTTATGAACTCCAGGTTACAAACAATGGGGGCTGAATCACTCGCAATTCAAGTAGTAGATAGACATATAGGCTTCAGGGAGATCGAACATACCCATCGAGTTGTTGGCCAGGACCCATAGGCCAGAAGAAATTGGCTATAGGTTGTATAAACAAGATGTCCGAAACCGTCACTCCGTTTCTAGACTCTCAAGTCCTAAGGGCCGAAAGCGTTTCTTCCGAATCCGTCCTCATTTTCCAGCTATATATTTCATGCTTCGCATTCCTATTTCCCGTCTCCCATCATCCATCCATTCGTTCACTCGTTATACATCGATTAATAACTTTCAACAGCTAAAATGTATTTCCATACCGCGTTTCTCCTCACCGCTGCCCTCGCCGGCGGCGCAATGGCCGACCTCTTGGTCTGGTCCGTGGTTGCAACGACAACCCTCACCTATCTCACCCCTACTATCACTCCCACGCTCACCATGTCCCCAACTTGGAGCAAGAACTATACCTCCATGACATACCCAGGTACTGGGATGACCAGCATTTATACTCGTATGAATCATACTATGACTATGTCCTACAATACTACTAGGAGTAACAACACATCCACCAAAACTCAGACGTCCAAGTAAGTTTTTAGATATATACTTAAATGCCTATGGAGATACTAACTGTAGATTTAGTACAACGGTGACAAGGACAATTTGTGACGAACAGAGCCGTTGCAGTGTTACCGTATCTGTTGGTCCGACTATGGTTATAACCGGAACCGGTACGGGGGTGATGCAACCTACCATGACCCCGTTTACTAGTGGTATCGGACGTGTTGTGGCTGGCAGCGGGTGGATCGTGGTGATCTTGTGTGGGCTTATGCTGTTAATGTAATTGGAGGGCAAAGAGATATCGATTTTTTGATTCAAGAAATAATTAGTACTTATGTTTGATTGTTATAATTTTTGCTTTTGAGAAGTTAGGTTGCTGTTGCGTTGGTGGTATGTAAGGAATGATAGGGAAGCTCTTCCACCATTAGGTATTGCGAAGTACATTTTAGTTAGGATTGGTTTAGTTTATAGCGCGCAATAGGAGAGAATTTCGAGCTTATGTATGTCCCAAGCTTAAATGTAAGATCCCATAAAAAACAATTTAGTATTGTTACATATACAGTGGTTTAACTCAAGGGAGCGCACATGCATATCCACTCCAAGTCTGAAAGAACGAGGGGATTGGTTAAGAATACATGTAAATGAGGTATATTCTGATCTATTCCACTGTTAGTTCTTCATAATCCAGAGATTTGCACTCGACTTCGATTCCCTATAAGCTGCTACTAAATCCATACAAGCAGTAAGTATGAGCTCACTTCCCCCTCACTACTGATTCTACTGTATATCCTGCCCAATGGTTTCCCGCAGAAATCCATCTTCAGATCCCGAGTTCATCAGCAACATTCAAATATACTGGAAGAAGAACAACCAGTAATGAATATCAACCTCTCATCCACAGACTCTTTTTTCGCGACTTATCCTCCTTCCATTCGAATCCACAAGTTCATCCAGCCACCGAAACGACTTCCCGCATAATCTGCGATTGGCCCATAGCCAAGATAAATTCTTTTTATCAAGCCAAACCAACTACTCCTGACGCACAGTAGTCTGGCACCCACTCCCATCCAACCTTTAACAAGCAATTTTTGACCTTTGATGTCACTTCTTGAACCCGCCACCACGCGTCTCGAACACTCTCACACTCAACTACGGCAGATCTTCGACCGTCTGAGTCGTCATTGATCGTGACACCGATTAAATAATTGTTCTTGCCGCCCCACCAAGCAATAACGCCCTCCTTGTCCACTGGGCTTCCAATACCTCCCTCGCCAATTACGGCTGCTTCTAAGCCAGTAAACTTGACGATACGGGTTGCACCGCACTCGGCGATTCGACTAGCAACGTAGTAGTCCATTCGAGCTATCGCTTGATCCGCCCAGTTAACACTGGCATTAAACTTTCCTGAAAATGGGTGCTTTTTGGAGGGAGTGTTTGCGGCCAAAAAAAAGGCATGTGCCTGAGCTGAGTGTACGAATATGAGTAGACAAGTTCCGCGGTAAGGATACGGTATAATGCGTTCAAGTGCGCCCTGGGTTATACAGGAGAGAAGTGCAGGAAGAGAGAAATTGGGCCCGAGATTGACAATATAAATTGCACGCCGCTTGCTACGTGAATCGCTGACCAAATGGTCGGTTGTGATGCGGGGCGTAGTGTATCGAGGAGAGGGCTTGGAAACCATCCCCGGAGGAGCTCGGGATACGGGAGGACGAGTCATTGCATTGCCATTCGTGGGAATAACCGCATGAGCGTTTTTAAAATGGTTACGGTTCAAAATAATTCGTGGGCCTAAAGGTACCGAATGCATATTGGGTTGCTTTTTCTCCACCGCAGGTTCCGCCTTCAACTTGGTTTCAGAGGTTTCTTCCTCGGCTTCAACGTGGTATTGACCACCATTGGTAGAAACCCTTTCCCTGTCCGTGATTCTTCCAGCAAGGATCAACTTTAGGCAATCCACCTTTGTTTCCAAATCCATGATCCTCTCCTGGGCGGTCACCAATTTCTCCTCCAATTCTTGACCTACCTTCGTCTCCCCGTTTTCTTTTAGGTTTTGCTCGTTCACTGCACTATTGAGTGGTTCAACTTTAGACTCTAGCTCGGCTATTCTCTTTGCCATCTTTTCCATATCTTCTTTGTATCGTTCGGATAAAGAGACTTTGTAAGTAGCCATGATTTCTTCGTAAGTCTTCTCGATAGACTTTCTAGCTTGCTCATGTAACTCTCCCTCATTGGTGAGTTCGTGGTTCAGCGCCTCCCAGTCGCTGCGTTTCACGATGATCAGATCAGATAAAGAGATCCCGTCAAACGAGTGCTGGACAAGGCTTGAGAAGCGCTTGTAAGTCAAAGGCGACTCGTCCCCATCGGAGTTGAAGCTGTTGAGAGAGGAACGACTGGAGGCTTCTGAAGGTGCGAGTTCAGATGGTATTTGAAGCCTCGGTTCGTGCTACTGAGTATTAGTTTGAACCGCTCTTTCTTTGATTATAGCAATAAAAATCACAACGCGGAGAGAGTTGTACTATGTGAGCCATGATGGGGAACCTTAAGTACCCTGGACACTGATTTTATGGCCTTTGATGTCGCTATCTATGTAGGTATGTACCAGGCGATGTGATGTGACGTTGGTTGCTAGATGGGAGAGATTGTGGCATGGACCACATGAAGGCACTTTACTGCTTGCAAGCAAAGCGAGTGCCAAGAATCAAATGCGCAAACCTGTCACATCTGCATAGCATAAATGTAGGCAGGTACAACGTAAGATCAACAAAGATTTGATTTCCTTTTAAGCAGCTTATATGAAGATCAAAAATTTCAAAGCACAACATCTAAATGTTTGGCTATAGCAATCAACTATTCTACTCTAAATCTGGATCGATTTTTAATCTGGTCGAGTGATATTTTATGACGATACATGGTACAATTCGTTGGTAAGGCTCCTTCCGCAAAGACCAGTAACAGCATATCATTAAGCTTAAATTGACAAATACCCAATCGCTAAATTTATCATAGAGTATCTCAAACCATGAGAAGGTGGACAGGCATTGGAAGACTGTGTACTTTTTGCTTTGATTTACTCCCTGAATGCGCAATGTATCAATCAAAGCGGTTTCTACTTGACCAAGATACTAAATAAGTGGCTGAATTTGTCATAAAACCGTAAAGATTTTATGCAGCTATATGCTGCATACTTTTAACCCTCTGACTCTATTAATGGGCCCTACAAAAAATGTGTCACCTATCCCGTGATGCATTGATTTATGTGTCTAACTACGAAACAGGTTCCCTAAATACACATAAATTTGACCGGGTAGAAGAAAACCGAAAGGGAATGTAACCGGATACCTAGAAATCATCTATTCAGCTCTCAAGAAGCTCCTTATTCAGAAGAGGTAATGTGTTAAGGAAATTCTTAATAGAACCTTCCCTTGAGTTTGGCTCTGACCGGACCTGATTGGTATTTAAAAGTTTTAAGGCGTTTTTGGGGGGATCGAGCTCAAGTCTATCCACAATCTCAATCTCTGCCTTTCTTGGTGAAAGACTCTGATAGACTAAGACTTCAGCTTGAGTTGCAACGCCTGGCACATCTTGGATTTGGGCTATTTCATCAAGTGGAAAAGACCTAGTCGATAGCGTTTGTAAAACCTTAGCCCCTTTTTCATGTCATATGAATTGAAGATATGAATTACCTAAGCCTCGCGGTTTTATTAAGGGGTGTTGAAAGTTGGACCTCGTTAAAAGATGAAGACATTTCCCGGAGCTAGCCTTCTTAGTATTCTCACTGAGGTAGGATAACAAGGTTTCTTACCCTGGGTGAAAAGAGCCGGTCACCAGCATGGACGGTTCGGAATTCACTATGTTCACTGCAACTATTGGATCTCTAGATGATTGACTAAAATCTGTTAGTTCTCAAAATCACCCTGTTAGGTCAAGCACTATCGCTAGTAGAGAAACATACTGTATCTCTGTAAGATATACGTCTCTCTTGGGTTCTGCTTCTTTGGGAGTTATCATTTCATCTCGATAACTATATAAATCAAACGATTAACATGTATTGGTGGGTGAAACGTTAAAAGGTAGATTTTCAGGGATACCTCTCGCTGTCTCGGTCAATCTCATCGGAGGGGTGGGTGTTTATCTCTAGATATGGTGAAAGTAATTCATTAACTACCGGGCTGTAATCATATTTTTCTTCGTCTCTAATAGCAGGGTGAATTTCTGGCCTCGGGCGGGTGGAGAGTGATTCATGGGTGTATGAGATAGACCCGTGAGGAAAATTCTAGTACTTGAACTGGTTGATATATATTGGAGGAACAATTCTTTTGCGAGAGAAAAGGAAATCTCTCTATCGCCAATATCTGTATCGCTTTCTTCTCCCTCTGAATGTTCAACGATACAGCGGTAATTACCAAGTTCGCCAACCGCGAGGAAAGAGCATAAATCGTTCTTTGTCAGACTTTTGTGCGTATTACCGTTTGCTTTGGGCACACCAAGAGTTACACTGCGGCCCACGGGTAGTGTCTCAATTGGCTTAGGTTTTGAAACCTTATGCCAGCCAAGGTTCTCTATGGGTTTGTCGGTAGGACTTTTAACGTAACTGACGATCCTGCCGTCGGGACCCGAGAACGCTTTCTGGGAGGTGAGATAGGTCTTGACTATCACCGCATCATGTACCGAACAGGAACAGATGGTTGTGGCCAACTCTTTCGTTGGTGCTAAAGCAGTAAGACGGCACGATTCAACTTTCTGTAATCACGAAATATAAATATTAGGGTTGAATGGTACGGTAGGATTTGGGAAACAAACCAGCTCAGTAGCAAGGTAGCTCAGTGTTCTCTGGGGCTCTTTAGGCTCTGTTTCAGGGGTGATCCTTAAGCTCCTTGTGGCCCCTTCTTTTTCAATCTCGCGAGAAACATTGCAGTAGCCACCCTCATTTCCAGTAATAAGCTTCCCGTCAGTCTTCCCAGGGCCAAGCCATGGCTTGAGTATCACATGAGGGGCACGCCTAAAAAGGCATTGAAACTGGGAATAAGGGGAGATATAAATGCACTCATCCTGCGTATCGCTGATAGCGTAGCCAGGAGGTAGTCTCTCACTGAGGAAGAACCCATGCTCAGAAACATACGAGAGGTACTCTTTTGCACAAGTTGGAGTTATAAATGTAATAAGAGCAGTCGTGTGAGGTATACTTCCTGGTATGGTGAACATTTGATAATAGCGTATTCTACGAACGGCCCAGAAGGAATTCATCAACTTTGCTTCGCCCATAGAGGAAGGTAGGTTAGTCACGATGATTGTCTGAGCTAAGGGTACAGTCCAGGTTCTATTGATCTTGTCGTTCAAACGCACAGCAAGGCATAAATCTTCATACAAATGGCTATTTTCTCCGGATTTTGTGTGGTATCTGTCCCAGGCAGCGGCCTTTTAATAAGCTCGTCAAGATAATCTCTCTCCACTGGGACTAGGGGTATTGATCTATTCATGATGGAAATGGTGGTAGTATAGGTAAATGATGCCTGAAAAGGTATTGGTTGAGGTTTGAAGATGGTGGGTGTTAAGTGGTAGGTTCTTTCCATCTTGGTTGTCATAGCTAAATTTACAAAGAGTGCGTGACTGCCGGCTTGTATCTGGCTTACATGACATTCAGTTACATTTTTCTTTCTACGTGTACATTTACGTAAGTTGGCGGCGACATGTACTTGTGCCTGTGCGTTCTAAGGACTGTTTTAGTGGTACGGTACAAAGATAAGACATACATGTAGAGTAAGTACACACTTAGACAACTTCGGGGCACTACAAGCTTTTTTATGAGTAGTATACAGGTATGTAGTAGTAGCGGCTCTCTGTCATTAGAAAGGCCGTGATTGAATATTAGTCGATCATTATCATAACGAATCACCACCAATATTGTAATTCGCACCGTCAGTGATGCGGCATTGTGTGACAAATTAACTCCACATACTGTTAGAAATACAGAGAGCAGCCGCACTTCTCGTAGAAAGTTTGTTGAATGTTTGTTTGTTGATCATGACTGTTAAGAGATTTTTTTATTTCCTTATCGATCCTATAGAAGGCTCCCGGGGTGGATTTTCTATATGCAATGTATGTATATGTAGATATATATATTGTATATGAACCAGGCATAACCTACCTGACTATATGTCTATAATGTATTTATAAAGACTTTCACCCTTTTTCTTTTCGAATGTTCCTTGGACAGAGATTCCCAGAAGTTAGTCTATTACATGTATGTACAAGGCTCTGGCATTAAGTGAGTGAACTAAATGGGGTGTTGACTGGTGAGGATCCGTTCACTCACTTAATCCCAGAGCCTTGTACATACATGTCTGATGTCTTTCAGCATTTGCAGAGATCCACCATGGAGGTTCCCGGCCTTCTTTTCTGTTATAGGAGGTGTAGGTACATAAATAATTTTCTCTCTTTAAACAGGATAGCCGCAATTAAATTAAATAACAGAAAGTAGGAGTATCGTGCCTTGTCTTGGGTCTTTATGGGTTAGGGTTTTGATAATACATGGGCAGGGCTAGGGTTGACGCGTTCACTCAACATCCCGCGCTCAGCTAGACAACAGCTTCAAGATACCCCACACCCGGCTAAACACCAGTGGTGTTCCTCGTCATGGCAAGCTCTTCTTTGTCTGTCCAACCGATTCCCACCTCTCAAACATCTCGGCGGATCTTTGAGTCTGTGTTTCCCCCCTCAGCATCGGCGACACTCCCGACACCGCTCGCTTCACCCAGTCCAGCCCTTGCCCACCAACCTCCTTCAACAACGCCGTCTCATGGGTACAATACTCGCCATCACCCAAATCTAATAACACCTCCGCCGGTCTCGCTAGTCCCTAGTCCTGCAGCTTTGTTTGCCAAGGAATCAAGAGCATGGCATCTTGCAACATCGTATTTGTCGTTCCAGAATGCTCAATTCCCCGGTTCTATTGAAGAATGGCTTGAATCATTCCATTTGGAACCTGCAAAGGATGTGCTCGAGGCCATGAGATATTTGATCTCGACTACAGATGATTCGGGCGAGGGGACGAGGGAGAGTCTATTGGAGTGGTATATCTGCGAAGTCCGGAGGCATTTCTTGGGGTGGGTCAAGCCGGATATTGGCATTCCCGCCGTATGGAACCTAGCCGCCCAGTTTGTTTAAAATAATGGAAAACGATTGGGAAATAACTTGGGCTAATTTCTTTGTGGTGATCTACAGGAGTACGATAATGCCCCCTCGGTTTTAGAGAAAATTCTATCAAAATTGACAACTGCTCAAAGCATTTATTTGCATCAACTCAAGTCATACCTTATTCCATCAAAGAAGCGGAAATCAAAAAAATACCTTCATATCCCTAGCTCTGAAGACGACGGGAACGATGATCCGCGAGTTCAGAGTTTCATACGCTCGCTGAACTCCATCGTTTCTTATTCACTTCCAGATCCTGCGTGGGGTAATCTCGTTTTTGCAGTCTTTTTAGAGCTTTGTGGGGTTTCTGTAGGACTTTCTGTCAAAAAAGATGAAACAAGTGACCCTAGAGATGATGACCAAGATACAGTAGTAGACGCAGGGGAGGCTAGTTTCAATAGTGAAGGAAGTTTGTCCTACCAAGGTGCTGGTTTGAGTCAGTTAAGTTTTAATACAGTTACCGATGTGGACGGTGATATCATTATTGATGATGACGGAAACTGCCTGGGTGATGTGGAAGAGATGGATGGAATCAATGAATTCGAAAAATTCAAGAAGATCGGTGAAGAAAGGACAAGGAAAAGGAAAGAGGAGAAACCAAGAGAAGAGGCACGGAAGAAGGTCCTGGAGATTTGGGGTAGCATGGAAAAATTAGGAGTTGGTGGGGGTGGAAGAAGAGGCGAACGGGTATTTGCAGAAGTGAGTAGGGTCACCTTATGTATAATCTCTCGAGATCAGATGGCTAACGAGACGAACAGGTAATCAACTCGTTAATGACAACTTATATCCAAGAAAAATTTGCTAGAGTTTGGGAATCACCGAGCAAAGTGGGTCATGAACTTGACGATTGGGTAGAACATGTCCTCGGTGGTCTCGTAGTGGATGTTTTATTCTCGTCCAAAAGTACAAATGAACAGGATTGGACTGCTAGATTGAAAAAATTAAGTCCCAGAGAGAGTTTCAGGGCCAGTCGACAAAGTCTTGATAATCGCAGAAAGGGAGCGATGGAGGTAGATGCTGGGGCAGGCGCAGAGGAGGTTGACCTTAAGCGTAGGCAGGAGGATTTAGAGAGTTGGAAAAAGATTGCTATTGGTAGGCTGGGTCGCTTAAGGGTTGGTGAGTTATTTGATATCGTGGTTGAATGGCCAGAGAGTCTTGGGGGCGTCGAGGATTTAAAGGTACTTACCACACTACAAAGTCTGGATATATGAACACTGACATGTGAATATATAGTCTTATATCACGTCTCCGCCTACTCGTCTCCACCTGACGACTACATTCACATCTGCTCTCTCTAGTCGTCTTCTCCACCCTGCTGCAGCTACCTCGGATATTCTCCGAGCGTATATCTCCCTGATACGTGCCTTCACAGTCTTAGATCCCCGTGGTGTTCTGCTTGACCGTGTTTCACGTGGTATCCGCCGATACCTGCGTGATAGAGATGATACGGTACGCGTTATAGTCCGCGGGATAATGTCCGAATCTCTCCCTCCTGGCGAAGGAGATCCTGAAGAGCTGGGTGAACTTTCTAAAGAACTAGGAAGAGGCATTCCAGCTCTTATGGCACAGCAAGGGGGCGGGCTTGAAGAACTGGACTATGATGATATGACATGGGCACCCGATCCTGTCGATGCTGGCCCTGAATTTAGAAGGAGTAAGGGTTTAGATGTTGTCGGGAGCTTGATATCTCTCTGGGATAGCAAAGAAGTCTGGACAAAGGAGATTCAAGCCGTTTTATCTAGTAGTCTTCTGGGAACAGATGGATGGACCTTTGAGAAGGAAATCCGGACTGTGGAATTGTTGAAGCTTCGCTTTGGAGAAACAGCAATGCAAGGCTGCGACGTTATGTTGAAGGATATCTCTGATTCAAAGCGCTCAAATACTGCCATCAGAAACAATGAAGAACTAGGCCCCCATGAATCTACAGATGAGGTTGATTTAGAGAAAGTACAGCTGCACGCAAAAATATTGAGCCGTTTGTTTTGGCCTGCGATGAAGGAAGACGAGTTTAAGGTGCCAGAGGAAGTCGAGGTGCTACAAAAACGCTACGAACATGGTTTCGAGAACCTCAAATCTAAGAGAAAGCTCACTTGGCTGCACAGTATGGGGATTGTGGATGTTGAGTTGGAGCTTGCGGACCGCATAGTGAGGGTGCCTGACGCTGCAACATGGCAGGCTGCAGTTATCTACGAATTTGATGAAGATAAGGGGGGCGCTGCATGGTCAATCAAGGATATTTCTGAGCGCCTAGACATGGAAGAAAGCTTAGCCAAACGTGCCGTCTCTTTCTGGTGCAGTAAAGACGTTCTTCGGGATGCCGGTGATGGAGTATTTGTCGTCGTTGAGAATTTGGCCGAATACGAAGAGATCCTTGGGCGGCAACAGGAAGCAGATGGTTCAGAGGCAATGAGAAGTACTACAGGGGGTGTTGAGGATGAGGAGATATCAGAAGAAAAGAAGAAGGAGCAGAAGACAGTTGAGCAGTTCATTGTTGGTTTGTTAACAAACCAAGGCGCGACATCGGCGGAACAGATTGGTACTATACTTGGGATGTTCTTGCCTGGGTTTAATTGGGGCGTTGACGAGCTGAGTGACTTCCTGAATATGATGAGAACAGGAGGGAAACTCGATTACGAAAACGGGTCCTGGAAAATCGCATCGGCTTAGATCGTTGCTTGTGGATTTATTCCATTGGTAATTAGACACGCATCGAGGTAGTTATATATCCCTATACTAGCCTGGGAGTAATAAAAGTTCTCCCACATTGGCTAGTACCTTAGTTATCTCATATCATATTGCAGCCACAAAGTGAACTTAGCCAAATGTAGCCGCTCTAAAAGAATACATGTAGCTAAAGAAATTACTCTAAGGATTTTACGAGTGGCTGTGGCTGTAACTGTGGCGTCATATAATTATTTACATTCAAGCCACGTCGCCTTCCTAGGGCTGACTTCAGTCATTTCCCTTTCTTCGTTTAAAACGGTTAGACAATTTCCTTATTTAGTATTTTTTTTTTTTTAGGATTAATGTGTCAAGCCCAGAAACGAGTCGTATGACAACAGCACTAAACCTTTGGAATTGCATGCTAATGACCCATTTCCTAGTACTACATTAAAAAAAACGTTATTAAAAGCAGGCGCTTTCTAATAATTATCTTGCGATGTAGGTTCCTCTACAGATCTGACTCACCTATCTATGTGCGAGTCATCACTAAAGGCCTTAAAGCTACGCCCCTTCCTGCTTTCGCCTCCCAACCTTCTCTATCCCCAATACCCCACTATCGCATCCAAATTATCTTCACAACATTACAGAAAGAGATATGTCTGTCTAATTCCCCTTCCAATTTATCTGGCCAGCACCTCCTGGTAGTTTGTCTCAATTTCAACGTTTTTATCCTCCCCAAATTTTCACATTTATTATTTCAAGATGACTCCTCGGTTATCAACAATATCTCGCGCTCATAATAATTATATAAGAATTACTCAGAGAAATCTGGTAACAATAATACAACTTATACTGTTTTTGGTAGCATTTATAGGAGCTGTGCACGGGAAACAACTTGATACGGTAGCTCTCGTGAGCTGAAAGATCACAAACCAAAGCGAAACGGAATCGAACAACTCTGAACAGGGGTAGCTTCAATCGAAGAACAAAATATCTAGCGAGGAGTGTGCTGTGCTTTGCCGCCGGATTTTTTTGGCCTTTCCATCCTTGTAAAAGCTACGTCAGCAGGGCGTACGTTCAGCTTTACTCTCTTAGTCCCATCAGTTACCTACACCGTGTTATCTATTGTATCACCGATTATCTTTCACCATGTCGAGTATCTTCACCTTTAATCCCTCCCCGCCAAAGCCTGCTTCGCCTTGGGCAAATAATACACCTATTCATCCTTCTCCATCAACAACACCGAGCCCATTACCTGCAGCAACAGAATCGATCACAGATGACACCCCCGGTCATCTCAAGACAAATAGTAATTCCGGTCGATTCCGTGGAAGCTTCATCGATGCCAACCACAAGAGATGGGGTGAAGGTATTGCAACCGATGATGGGGGGGTGGTAAGGGGGTTGATATCGGAACCTCAAATGGGACCGACCGAGTACAAGCTGAGTCTTATCAGAGGAGGGAAGAGTGAAGCACGGATGGATCAATTGACAACTCAATTGCTATGGAGATTACAGCAGAGTAGCCCGTAAGTCAATCCCGCTATAGATTCTGTCTTATTCGTTTCATGAGCTGATATTGCATCTAAAATAGATATCATGGAAATTCTCTTACGTCTAAATCCCCGGGAGCTATCTCTTCTTTGTTACAGGAGTCACAGGGAGCGCTCTATGAGATTGGGGTCGCAGACGATGGGACTTTTGTCGGTCTCAGTGAGGAAGAATTACATGCGTCTCTTGATACTTTGCGTGGTATGGCGGCGAGACTTGGGTGTAGTGTAACCGTTGTCCGTAAAGTCTGCGTAGGCACGGTTGATGGGCGTGAGATCAAACGAGCTGAAGCGAAGCTTGCTGAGTATATCAAAGCTAGGCAACGAAATCAGAAAATTACGAAGATGATCCCCGAAGATAATTACAATGGTGGTTTAACGGAGACAATCGACGGCGCTGATACGGAGAAATTTGGAATTCCTAGACTTGGAGACAGCCTGTGGGTTGCCGAAGCCTTTGTAAAACCTGGTGACGGATCTCCAACTATTCCGGCGAACGTGAACCCGGAAGATGTTATAAAATTGCCTGAAACAAAAAGCAATACAGAGCAACTCCGAATAACACTAACCGGAGCAACGACTTGTGGTAAAACCACCCTTTTGGGGACTTTGAGCACAGGAGAGCTTGATAATGGGCGAGGCAAGAGTCGCTTGTCGTTACTACGTCATAGGCACGAGCTCGTCTCCGGTATCACTTCCTCTGTCGCGTGGGAGATCGTGGGTTATCGGCCCGAACCGCCGGACACAAACAATGAGAACTTAACGAACGAAAGCGGAGCATCCAGAATAGTAAATTACGCTTCTGGTAACATATCTTCCTGGACAGATATCCATGCATCGGCAGTAGGTGGTAGAATTGCGTTCTTGTCTGATTCTGCCGGTAATACAAGATTTATCAAAGCTACTTTCCGATCATTGATTGGATGGGCTCCTCATTACGCCGCTTACCTGATCGCTGCAAATAGTGAAGATGATAGCAGTGGAGTTTCTGGTCATGGTGTCCACGCCCATCTAACACTTTGTACTAAATTGGGGCTAAGGATGTTGGTCGTTATTACAAAAATGGATCTAGCCTCGAAAACTGGGCTGAAGAAAGTATTCTCCTCTGTACTGACCTACTTGAAAGAGCATGGGAAAAAACCAGCGCTTATCCCATCAATGAAAACGCTTAAAGATGTTACTCGTGATGTCGAAATGGATCCCGAGCATGTGGTGCCGATATTATTCACTTCCTCGGTTAAGGGCGATGGAATCGACTTGTTGCATGCACTGATTGCAAGTTTGCCATTGCCAGAATCCCTCAGAGCACCGGTTATTGAGAGGGTTATTGAACCTCTGCCAGGCACGAGTCTCGTTGGCGTCACAACCGGGACAGGAAATCTTTCTGTCGTGGATAACGGCGAAGGTATGACGGTGAAAGTGGACGTCACCAATGATAAGGAGGAGTTGCCGTCTACGCTGTTTCATGTTGAAGAGATTTATGGAATACAGCCAGCATATGGGAACGCAGATACGGATGGCGGTGCAGTTGTGGGAGGGCACGTGAGATACGGCAAAATATCTATAGGAGATGAGCTTGTCATTGGGCCTTTCCCTCCTGTCAATAGTCCACCTTCGAGAAGCGGAACGCCAACGCCGACGGCAACCCCTATTCAGAACTTGAATCTGTCAACATCTGCAGGGCATCTATCGAGACAATTTTCAAAAAGTCCTGATAGTGGGGACGAAAGACGTGTTAGAATAACTTCTAGACAAACTCCGACTCCAAATAACGGTGAGGATGACATAGAGGACATTAGTGGTGGAGAGTTTGAATGGAAAACTGTCAAGATTATTTCAGTTCGAAGGTTAAGGTTACCTGTCAATACCCTTTATACAGGCGAGGCCGGAACCCTGGGAGCTGTGCCCATTTTAGAGGAGTCTTCGATCTTGGATCCTGTCCTACCAATCGATCTCCGAGATATAAACAGCAAATTAAGGATTACCATCGATGAAGATAGCGATTGCAGCGACAGTACACATCATCTTTCGGGGACGCCGAAGAGTATGAAAGCTGTCACATTTGCAAATCCTCCGCCAACAAACATTCATCATCTCCCTATGAAGTTAAGGAGGGGTATGGTCATCCTTAACCGCCCATCAACGAAGTTATGGCCAAAAGCACACGTTGGATTTACAACAAAGCTCGAAGATCCCGATGCATGCAATTCACTAGTAATCGGTAGTAGCGCTATGGTCTATATTGCATCCATCCGTGTTGCAGCTAGAGTGGCTTCTATCGAACCACCCCCTCCTCCTGTAACTGCCATCAAGAGAAAAGACAAAAGTGACGATGCACTTGGTGTTTTTAGCTTGGATGATGAATTTGACTCCCATTCCGAGGACGAAAATACGGATGATTACTTAAAGGAAAGATTATACACTTTTGAGTTCAATCACAGAGCGGAGTGGATTGAGGAAGATGCCACCGTATTGATTATGCCTGGCGGTGGCGAAAAAGGGTTGGAAGCGTTTGTGGGAAAGGTTTTGAATAGACTGGTGTAAAAGGAAGTGATTGATTTATATTTTTTATTTATTTTCCGTTATGATTTTTATTTATTCAGTATTTGTTTTTATTTTCACAGCCCTTCCTGCATAGAAACTCCGGGAAGTGTTGCATATTTGTATTTTAGATATTTCCATGTTGAATGTTACCTCACCCTTGGTTAAAATTGCTAAAGGCTCGGTCGTATGTAAATACAATCTTGCCACCAAAGTATGTTGTATGAAGGCTGGTGTATACATCCCTATCGATAAGCACCCTGATTTTATTGATATTGATTATATGAGCAAAGGTTTAATCTACCCTTGATGCTGTAGTTATTCCCCCGCCCACATTCCTTTCTTACTATTCTAGCTATAACTTGACCATGCATAGAGTAGATCAACGAGAGAGCTGCTGGTAAGTGAGAGACCCATATAGCTATAGCAACACGAGTAGCCTAGTTATATCTTGAACACATATATCGGTGCCTGAAGGCGCAGACCTTGCCCAACTCTTTTCATCAGGCAGGGCAATATGGAGGCGAAAAGGAGATGGAAGTCACCAAGGAGCAACGAGAAGACCTCCAGAGACAGATGAAAAAAGCTCAAGAGGAGGAGGAGGAAAGAAAGAAGAGGGAGGCAGAAAGGGAAGCCCAGCAAGAAGAATTGAATAAAGAACGAGACGAGAAAATAAGGATCGCAAGGGAGGAATTGGAGAAGGAATCGGAAGCCCGTAAGAAGGCCGAGGAAGAGAAAGAGAAAGCAGAGAATGATCTCAAGCAGGGAATTCGGCCATAAATGAAACCTACCGAGGAGGATATTCGAAGAGTAAAGGCCAAACTTCAATATACTGATGACCACTTCCACTTCGCTGTTTGTGGCCAGGCCGGAAGCGGAAAAGCGTCTTTGATAAACGTGCTCCGTGGTATGAAAAACAATATTCCAATGTCGGCCAAAACGGGCGCTCATTCGATAGGTATTATGGGTTGTCAAAAATAATGCGAACTGGCAATATCAACGTTTTCGACTTGAGCTAGGACGTCGTTAGCTAGAGATTACGATATTAGGTCCCGGCAATCTCATCAGGTTAGCCATCATACCCCATCAGTCAAAGAGAAATCCTCCTTTAATACTTTGAAATCATAAATAAAACACGTGACTAAAAATCTACACACGTGAAGAACACTCCAAGAATCGTGTTTTGAGATACGTCATATAGTCATCTAGTCAGAGGTCCGGAATGTGGTTAGTGGAGGAACATACGACGTGAAGCTGATTGTGGAACGTTCGTTTTTTGCTTTGTCTAGTGGTGAAACCTTCTTCGTTCAGACAATTAGTCCCCGTAATAAGAACTAGGAATGCTAGCTTGTATTAGGATCTCAGTACCATACCTGAGTTGTTGACGCTTGACGATTTGACGGGAGATTGTATAGAAGAATACGATAACGTCTGTCGACGTGGAGAGAGAGCCGCTTCCCAACACTCGATAGCTATTTGTCTGGTCTAGGATATGAAAATAGTATGTACCAAGGTGTCCAGCACGATATTTCCGACTGGCAGTAACTTCAACGATCAAGGCTTTTCATCTTGTCTCATAAACGTACAAAAACACACACCGCCGGGGCATGGTATCCGATTTTGTCAAAGAAAATACCAACCCCCTTGATTTTCCCCATCTCTTTCTGCCCTTCTGATCTCTGCAGCATTAGCTTTCCGTTTTCGTTGCAGATAACCAGCGAGGAAGGGGAAATATTGTCGTCCACTTCGGATTTCCATTGCTGTTTTTTTCCAAAACGCCAGAGGAATAAGACGCATGAAAGTAGCAAGGCAAGCAAAAGAGTAAACCATGCCCCTTGGGGCACTTTTGTGAGGGCAGCGGATAGAAATGCTCCGTCCATAGCCCCGAATAAGACAAAACCGACCAGAACAAGAATGAAGTGAAGTTGCCACACAACAAGAGCAACGATTGATATCATGCAAGTTGTGATAAAAGTAACCATAATTACGCAAACACCATACGCATTGCCCAAACTCGTGGTCTAGTAAATCTATCAGTGATTGAACATTGCCAATTGTGCGGAGATAACCCCTACATTGTTATAAACAGCTGTCACAATGATAGTCCCGATCATCATTAGCCAATTCGCAAGTGGTATATAGATTTGTCCATGAAACCTGGTGCTCGTGTGTAGGACCTTTATCCTTGGGAAGTAAGATAGACTCATACATTGGGATATGAGTTGAAACGAGCCAGTTATCATTGCCTGGGACGCTACTATTGCAGCCAGGATTGATAGAATTAAACTGGGATAGTACATTCCAGGAGGCAC